AATTTGACTTAGTCGACCACAATTTAATCAGCAACAAAGCTATCGATGTCGGGTTTCGAAGAAGTCTTATATCATGGCTTACAGACTTCCTCAGTAACCGACGCCAAGCTTGTACGCTTCCGAGGGGCTTTCTCCACCTTTCAGTCACTCACCTGTGGCGTCCCCCAAGGCACCAAGATGGGACCACTATGCTTCCTTATGCTTATCAATGATTCCCTAAGAGAACCCCTGCTCGCTGGAAATACCCTGTATGTCAACAATTCTACTCCCCACTATACCGCCCTTCAGGATTTATTGAACAGTTTCCAAAACTGGGTCACCAACAACGACGTCACCATAAACCATACCAAGACCATGGCTATGCACATCAACCTCTCCTCCGACGCTGCTCCACCCCCTTCCATTACTTTAGGTCCCAACACATTCCAGGATGTAGATTCCACTAAGCTCCTCGGCGTCACCATAGACAACAAACTAAATTGGAAACCACACGTCAGTGAAGATGTCAAATCCTCCAGTTTCCGTCTCCACCTCCTCCGCCGACCCAAGTCCCTCGGACTTCCTGCTCCCGAGCTCCTCAGTGATTACTCAACATTCATACTTCCCAAGCTCACCTATGCCTCCCCATCTGGTCTTCCCCCCTAAATGCCACACAACGTAAACACCTACAAAAAAAGTGCAAAAGAGGGCACTCAAGATTATTCTCGCCCCTTCCTACTCCACATATGAAGAAGCGCTCAACACACTGACCCTATCGGCTCTCTCTGACCATCACCACGACCTCATCTGCAAATTTGGTGAGAAGCTTCTGCACCATCCTCGACACCGGCTCCTACTACCACCGGACATCCCTCGTCCGAGAATTGCTGTTCGACACCACAACCGCATCCAGCCCATACGAGCACGAACTGGTCGCTATAAGAACACCCTTGTCCTAATCATTGTAAAAATTATCAATAACTTGTAATCAACCAGTGTATTCGCTCCCAGTCAATCTTACTTTTTTGCACTGTCACAATGTTGAAATGCCCTGTAGTTTGAGCTTCTCCTCACCTAGTTATTATATATCATATTTGTATCACTTATGTTACTTGTATAATTATTTGCAAATCAAGAGACCCATTCCCTAATTATGTAACTGTATATTTTCAGCCCTCCGGCTGCCATGCTCTTTCAATAAACCGTTAATATTATTATTATTATTATTATTATTATTATTATTATTATTATTATTATTATTATTATTATTATGATGATGATGAAAGAAACCACCATGACAGTGTCGTAATGTGCACCATGGCAGTGTCGTTATGTGCACCACCATGACAGTGTCGTTATGTGCACCACCATGACAGTGTCGTTATGTGCACCACCATTACAGTGTCGTTAAATGCACCATCCTGACTGACAGTGTCGTTACGTGCACCTCCATGACAGTGTCGTTATGTGCACCACCATGACAGTGTCGTTATGTGCACCATCCTGACTGACAGTGTCGTTACGTGCACCACGTACACTGATGTAATAATGAAGACGTGTGTCAGTGAAGCTGCACAATTCACTACTGTTACAACACATAATAAAAATCTTATATTACACCATATTCACAGATAATAATGATCCCTTAACAACAGCATCATGTTGGTATTAATACTAATGAATTTTCGGCGTACTAACTCAAAACCTGTTTAATATTGAAGTCACAGCAATTGTTTTATACATGGGTTGGCTTTAGGTAGTGTGTGACCAGTTATGACCTACCACCACACTTTGTGACCACTTATGACCTACCAACACACTTTGTGACCACTTATGACCTACCACTACACTTTGTGACCACTTATGACCTACCACCACACTTTGTGACCACTTATGACCTACCACCACACTTTGTGACCACTTATGACCTACCACCACACTTTGTGACCACTTATGACCTACCACCACACTTTGTGACCACTTATGACCTACCACCACACTGACCACTTGTGACCACTTATGACCTACCACCACACTGTTGTGACCACTTACCTACCACCACACTTTGTTATGACCTACCACCACACTTTGTGACCACTTATGACCACCACACTTTGTGACCACATGACCTACCACCACACTTTGTGACCACTTATGACCTACCACCACACTTTGTGACCACTTATGACCTACCACCACACTTTGTGACCACTTATGACCTACCACCACACTTTGTGACCACTTATGACCTACCACCACACTTTGTGACCACTTATGACCTACCACCACACTTTGTGACCACTTATGACCTACCACCACACTTTGTGACCACTTATGACCTACCACCACACTTTGTGACCACTTATGACCTACCACCACACTTTGTGACCACTTATGACCTACCACCACACTTTGTGACCTCCACTTGACCGTCAAGACCCAATGTAACTAAGAATGATCGGACGTGTTTCAGCACTCCTTAAATCACCACGAGCAAACGTGATCCATGATGAAAGCAAGTGGCCTATCATGGCCCAGTGTGACCCATCAATGCCCAGTGTGACCTATAATGGCCCAGTGTGACCCATCATGACCCAGTGTGACTCATTATGTCAAACTTGAAGGTTCCTTAGTTTTAAGAAAATAAACGACAGCAAAGCTTCTGTTGAGAGAGAAAACGTTGTTTGAATGTTGACTGGGAGAGCTGTGTGCTGTGTAAATGTTGACTGGGGGAACTGTGTGAATGTTGATTGAAGGAGCTGTGTAAATGTTGACTGGGGGAACTGTGTAAATGTTGACTGGGGGAACTGTGTGAAAGTTAACTGCGGGAACTGTATGAATGTTAATTCGTCTTATCTTTAAGCAACGTGAACCTCCATCGGGGATTGCCCGTGCCAATTATGTGGTAGAAGTAGAATTTTACCAACTCTAGCTAGGAAACACGAGGCTACATATTATCTCAATTAGTGAGGTATTATTTGTACATGGAAGTTCGCAGCTATCAAACAAGGAGGTGCTACTGCCTGGGATGATATTGGCAGCATACTGTATTGCCTAAAGGTAGACCCTGCTGCCATGTGGCATCAAAAAATTAAAAAAAAATCACCTGTATTTTTTAAAACTTTTTAAAACTTTTGTTTTCTTGGCTCTGATGATGGAAAATGATTTTCCGAAACATTAGTGATTAAATAAACCGAAATTAGTCAAGATGTTTGTGTTTTCCCTGGTTCTCCTCTTCCTAACACATGTGAAGGAAAAGTTATCCTGCAATTAAAAACAAATTTGAGGAAAAGGTAAATTAATAAAATAATAATGAACATCAGGAATTTGTGTTAAGAGAGTGATAACAGTTGTTAGTTAGTTATATACAATGCAGTGTTGTTTGTTGTAGTACTAGTTATGTAACTCACAATTTTATGCCATCTTCAGTGTGCACCTTAAGGCATAGCATTATGAGAGAAAATAAACTCTGCGATATCCACCTTGCTTTGGGTGCTTGGGGATATAAGGGTGTCGTGCCACTGGAAGACTGCTTTGGCCACTAGAAGACTGCTTTGGCCACTGGAAGACTGCTTTGGCCTACATATTGATAAGTTGTGAGGACCAGCGAACAACCACATAGAGAGTGATTCAGTCAAGAAAAATCTTGATCTCTATTTCCATTTTCACTTATAGGAAAATCTCAAACTCAACAACGATGACTGTCCGGGCCTTTTTAACAACGATGGGCCGGGCCCCATCGGTGACGACTGGCCGGGCCTCTTCTTCGACGATGGGGGCGACGACGGGCCGCGCTTCTTTGGCGATGAAGGGCCGGTCCTCATTGGTAACGACGGCCCGGGCCTCGTCAATGGGCCGGGGCTCATCGGCGACGATGGGCTGAACCTCGTCAGCGATGACGGGCCGGGCCATGTTGACTGACCGGGCATCGTCAATGGGCCGAGTCTCTTCAACAACGACGGGCCGGGCTTCGTAGGCAACGACGGGCCAGGCCTCTTCTTCGACGACGGGCTGGGCTTCGTCAGCGACGACAAGCAGGGCTTCGTTGGCAACGACGGGCCAGGCCTCTTCTTCAACGACGGGCCGGGACACGTATGCGACAACGGGCCGGGCTTCGTCGGCAACGACGGGCTAGGCCTCTTCTTCGACGACGGGCCGGGACACATATGCGATGACAGGCTGGGCTTCGTCGGTGACAACGGGCCGGGACACTTATGTGATGACGGGCCGGGACACATATGTGACGGTGGGCAATGCTTTGTCGACGACAACGGGCTGGGACATATGCGACGGCGGGCCATGCCTTACCGGCGGCAGACGGGCGGGCTTCATCGGCGACGACGGGCGGGCTTCGTCGGCAACGGCGGGTCGGGTACATATGCGACGATGGGCGGGACACATATGCGACGACGGGCGGGACACATATGCGACAGCGGGCCATGCCTCATCGGCGGCAGCAGGCGGCGGGCTTCATCGGCGACGAAGGCCCATGCCTCATCGGCGACAATGGGCGGGACACATATGCGACAGCGGGCGGGACACATATCTGCCGGGCCATGCTTCGTCGGCGACAACGGGTCGGGACATATGTGATAACGGGCCGGACACATATGCGACAGCGGGCCATGCCTCATGGCGCGACTGGCCGGGCATCGTCGGGGACGACAGGCGGGCATCGTCGGCGACGGCGAGTCTGGACACATATCGCGGCGACGGACCGGGACACATATCGACGGCGGGCCATGCCTCGCCGGCGACGTGGGCCAGGCTTCATCGGCGACGACGGGCGGGCCGTCGGCGACGACGGGTCTGGACACATATGCGACGACGGACCGGGACACATATGCGACGATGGCCGGGACACATATGCGACAACGGGCCATGCCTCATCGGCGACAGGCCATGCCTCACCGGCGACATGGGCCGGGCATCGTCGGGGACGACGGGCGGGCATCGTCGGCGACGACAGGTCTGGACACATATCGGCGACGGACCGGACACATATCGACGACTGACGGGCCATGCCTCATCGGCGACGTCGGGCGGGCATCGTCGGGGACGACGGACCGGCATCGTTAAGCGGCAACGGGTCTGGACACATATCGACGACGGACCGGGACACATATGCGACGACGGGCCAGGACACATATGCGACGGCGGGCCATGCCTCATCGGCGACAACGGGCCATGCCTCATCGCGGCGACGACGGGCGGGCATCGTCGGGGACGACAGGCCGGGCATCGTCGGCGACGACGGGTCTGGACACATATCGACGACGGACGGGACACATATCACGACGGCGCCATGCCTCATCGGCGACGTCGGGCCGGGCATCGTCGGGACGACCCGGGCGAACGCCGTTGGCGACGACGGGTCTGGACACATATCGACGACGGACCGAGACACATATGCGACGACGGGCCGGGACATATGCGACGACGGGCCATGCCTCATCGGCGACAGCGGGCCATGCCTCATCAGCGACAGCGGGCGAGGCATCGTCGGCGACAACAGTCTGGACACATATGCGACGACGGACCGGGACACATATGCGACGACGGGCCGGGACACATATGCGACGACGGGCCATGCCTCATTGGCGACAACGGGCCATGGCTCATCGGCGACGACGGGCCGCATCGCCGGGCGACGACGGGTCTGGACACATATGCGACGACGGACCAGGACACATATGCGACGACGGCCGACACACATATGCGACGACGGGCCATGCCTCATCGGCGACAACGGGCCATGCCTCATCGGCGACAACGGGCCATGCCTCATCGGCGACGACGGGCGGGCATCGCCGACGACGGGCCGGGCATCGTCGGCGCACGACGGTCTGGACACATATGCGGCGACGACCGACACATATGCGACGACGGGCCACTCATCGGCGACGTCGGCCGGGCATCGTCGACGACGGGCCGGGCATCGTATGGACGACGGGTCTGGACACATATGGCGAACGGACCGGGACATATGACGACGGGCCGACACATATGCGACGACGGGCCATGCCTCATTGCGACAACGGCTATGGCTCATCGGCGAGCGACGGGCCGGGCATCGCCGGGGACGACGGCCGGCATCGCCGGGCGCAACGGGTCTGGACACATAGCGACGAGGACCGACATATGCGACGACGGGCCGGGACACATATGCGACGACGGGCCATGCCTCATCGGCGACAACGGGCCATGCCCCATCGGCGACAACGGCTATGCCTCATCGGCGACGACGGGCCGGGCATCGTCGACGACGGGCCGCATCGTCGGCGACGACGGGTCTGGACATATGCGGCGACGGACCGACATATGCGACGACGGGCCATGCCTCATCGGCGACGTCGGGCCGGGCATCGCGGGACGACGGGCCGGCATCGCTGGCAACGGTCTGGACACATATGCGACGACGGACCGGGACATATGCGACGACGGCCGGGACACATATGCGACGACGGGCCATGCCTCATTGGCGACAACGGGCTTGCCTCATCGGCGACGACGGGCGGGCATCGCCGGGACGACGGGCCGGGCATCGTCGGCGACGACGGGTCTGGACATATGCGACGACGGACCGACACATATGCGACGACGGGCCGACATATGCGACGACGGGCCATGCCTCATCGGCGACAACGGGCCATGCCCATCGGGCGACAACGGGCTACCATCGGCGACGACGGGCCGGGCATCGTCGGGGACGACGGGCGGCATCGTCGGCGAGGACGATTCTGGACACATATGCGACGACGGGCCGGGACACATATGCGACGACGGGCCATGCCTCATTGGCGACAACGGGATACGCTCATCGGCGACGACGGGCCGGGCATCGCCGGGGACGACGCTGGCCGGGCATCGTCGGCGACGACGGGTCTGGACACATGTGCGACGACGGACCGACACATATGCGACGACGGGCCGGGACATATGACGACCACGCCTCATCGGCGACAACGGGCCATGCCTCATCGGCGACAACGGGCCATGCCTCATCGGCGACGACGGGCCGACACATATGCATCAACGGGCCATGCCTCATCGGCGACGACGGCCGGGACACATATGCATCAACGGACCATGCCTCATCGGCGAGACGGCCGGGCTTCATCGGCGACAACGGGCCGACACATATGCGACGACGGGCCTATGCCTCATCGGCGACGACGGGCCGGGCTTGTTGGCGTCGACGGGCTGGGACACATATGCGACGACGAGGGGACACATATGCGACGACGGGCCATGCCCTCATCGGCGACGTCGCCGAGCCTCGTCGGCGACGATGGGCCGCGACATTAAGGCGACGACGGGCCATGCCTCATCGGGCGACGGCGGCTGGGACATACATGCGACGACGGGCCATGCCTCTCATCGGATACGACGGGCCGGGCCTCTTCTTCGACGACGGGCCTGGCCTCTTTTCGACGACCGGCCGGGCTTCGTCGGCGACGACGGGCCGGGCTTTATCGGTGACGACGCAGCCTCATCGGCGACATCGGGCTATGCCTCATCGGCTACGACGGGCCGGGCTTCGGGCGACGACGGACGGGCTTATCGGTGACGACGGGCCAAGCCTCATCGCAACATCGGGCCATGCCCCATCGGCAACGACGGACTGGCTTGTCGGCGACGACGGCCGGGCTTGGCGGCGACGACGGGCTGGGGATACATATGCGACGACGGGCCGACACATATCGCACAACGGGCCATGCCTCATGAGCGTTGCCGAGCCGTCTCGTCGGGACGACGGGCTGCGCCTCATCGACGACGACGGGCGCTTCATCGCAGACGCGGGCGTTCGCCGGCGACGACGGGTCGAAGCTTGTCGGCGACGAGGTCGGGACATATGTGCGACGACTGGCCGGGACACATATGCGACGATGGGCCGGGACACATATGCCACGACCGGCCATGTCTCATCGGCGACAACGGGCTATGCCTCGCTGCGACGACGGGCGGGCTTATCGTGACCACGGGCCATGCCTCATCGGCGATACACGGTGCTCAGTCGGACGACGACGGCCGGGCTTCATGGCGACCATGGGCATGTCTCATCGGCGACGACGCCGACACATATGTGACGACGGGCCGACACATGCGACGACGGCCGACACATATGCGACGACGGGCCATGCCTCATCGGCGATGTCGGTCGCCTCGTCGGCGACGACGGCCGGGATGCGACGACGGGCCGGGACATATGACGACGGGCCATGCCTCATCGGCGATGTCGGCTGGCCTGCTGTCGACGACGAGCCGGGCTTCATCGGCGCACGGGCTATGTCTCATCGGCGACGACGTGCCGGGACACATATGCGACGATGGGCCGACATATGCGACGACGGGCGGACACATATGCGACGACGGGCCATGCCTCATCGGCGATAGGCCGGCCCGCCGGGCGACGACGGGCCGGGCTTCATCGGCGACGACGGGCATGTCTCGGCCGGCGACGACGTGCCGGGACACATATGCGAGACGTGGGCGGACACATATGCGACGACGGGCATGTCTCATCGGCGACAACGGGCTACGCTCTCGGGCGACGATTGGCCGGGCTTCGTCGGCGTCGCCGGGCCGTACATATGCGACGACGGGCCATGCCTCATCGGCGACGCCGGCCGAGCCTCGTCCGGCGACGATGGGCCGGGACACATATGCGACGACAGCCTCATCGGCGACGGCGGGCCATGCCTCGTCGGCGACGACGGCTGGTCATCGGGCGACGACGGGCCAGGCCTCTTCGACGACGGCCAGGCTTCATCGTCGACGACGGTTAGCCGCCGACGACGAAGGGCTGCTTCGTCGGCGACGAAACGCTCTCACGGCGACGGCGGCCGGGCTTCGTCGGCAACGACGGGCCATGCCTCATCGGCGACAACGGCTATGCCTCGTCGGCGACGACGGGCCGGGCTTCATCGGCGACTGGGCCATGTTTCATCGGCGACGACGTGCCGACACATATGTGACGACGGGCCGGGACACACGCGACGACGGGCCGACACATATGCGACGACGGGCCATGCCTCATCGGCGATAAATGCCGGCCTCGTCGGCGACGACGGGCCGGGACACATATGCGACGACGGGCCGACATATGCGACGACGGGCCATGCCTCATCGGCGATACCGGGCCGATGCCGCGGCGACGACGGGCCGGGCTTCATCGGCGACGACGGGCTATGTCTCATCGGCGACGACGCCGGGACACATATGCGACGAGCGGACGACCATATGCGATGACTAGCCAGGCCCTCATCGGCGACAACGGGCTATGCCTCGTCGGCGACGATTGGCCGGGCTTCGGTCACGCTGCCGGGCCGGGTCACATACGCGACGACGGGCTAGCGCCTCATCGGCGACGTCGGGCCGACCTCGTCGGCGACGATGGGCCGAATATGCGACGACGGCCATGCCTCATCGGCGACGGCGGGCTATGCTCTCGTCGGCGACGACGGGCCGGGTTTCATCGGCGACGACGGGCCAGGCCTCTTCGACGACGGGCCAGGCTTCATCGTCGACGACGGGAGCTTCGCCGACGACGAAGGGCCGGGCTTCGTCGGCGACGAAGGGCCGGGCTTCGTCGGCAACGACGGGCCAGGCCTCTTCGACGACGGGCCAGGCTTCATCGGCGACGACGGGCCGGGCATCGTCGCACGACCCACAGGGCCTCATAGGCGACGACGGGCCGGGTTTTATCGACAGGCTGAGCCTCTCCGGTGGTTGGGAGGTCTCTTTGGTCATATAGTTTGAGTGTTTAACATTTGTATGCATATCCCATATTTTATTTCCTATATAGAGCTTGGGTCTGGACAACTGGCTGAGCCTCTCTAACTTCTTTTCTCATTTACTGAGTGCATAAATGGGTCAGGCGACTCATACCCTTAAATGGCCAATGATTTAGACAGCCAATCAACATGAAAATGAAAACGTTAATTAGGAAAAAAATTGGGGTAAAGTTTTCAGAGAGAACCTCAAATTCTTTTAGAACAATTTTGTGCTTTTGAACCATATCCCGCAAGTAAATGAATTTGAAGATATGGCCGATAAGTGGCCACGAGGTGGAAAGTGGTGGGCCATCCTTCAAGTGATCTATATTTGGAATTGACTTCACCTTGGACAAAACCGATCCGATGACAGGAATTTCGTATACTAAAAGCAAATTGTCAATTTTCCCCTACACATTACATATTAAATATTTTAGCTCCCCTTCTAATTTTTACTCTTCTTTATGCAAAATATATGCAAACAAAAGAGCAAATAAAATAAACGAAATCGACTTTAAGCTTTTCGAACTCATTTGTAGCTTTCTGTATACCCCACACCTAATAAAATTTCCATTGCTTCTATTTTCATGATCCCTTAGCCTCGTTTCTCTGTTGTAACTATAAAGTCAGGGTAGAACTCCTCGCACTCTTTCAGTAAATATTGTTGTACAGCTCATCATGGTCACCTGATGCGTATAGTGTAGAAAGTGTACCATGCGTCGTAAAGATAATGTACTATGTGTAGTATAAACAGTGTGCCATGTGTAGTGTGGACAGTGTACAATGTGTAGTGTAGACAATGTAGCATGTGTAGTGTAGACAATGTACCATGCGTAGTGTAAGAAGTGTACTACGTGTAGTGTAAACAGCATACCATGTGTAGTGTAGACAGTGTACCATGTGTAGTGTAAACGGTGTACCCTGTGTAGTGTACACAGTGTACCAAGTGTAGTGTCGAAAGTGTACCAGGTTTAGTGTGGATAGTGTACCATATGTATTGTAGTCATTGTACCATGCATAGTGTAAACAGTATAAAATGTGTTGCATCGACAGTGCACCATGTGTAGTTTAGACAGCATACCATGTGTACTGTAAACAGTGTACCAAGTGTAGTGTGGATAGTGTACCTTATGTAGTGTAAACGGTGTGCAATGTGTAGTATGGTGTAGACAGTGTACCATGTGTAGTGTAAGCAGTATACCATGTGTAGCGTA